TCTGTCTGAAGGGATCACTGAAGACATTTGATGACATCTGTCCCCAGGACCAGAGGAGATGACAGCAGCTTCCAAGATCCACAGGATGGAAGAGTGAAAAAGCAGGAATCAGGGGCTGGTGCTATGGCACGGTGGGTCAAGCTGCTTGTGACAATGACATCCCACGTGGGTGCCACTTAGAGTCCCGGCTATTCTCCTTCTGATCCAGTTCCCCATTAACGGCTTGGGAAGGAAGGTCCAAGTGGTTGGACTCCTGCCATCCATGTGGGAGACCCGGATGAAGCTCCTGGCTCCAGGCTCAGGCCTGGCTGTTCTGATCATTTGGGGAGTAGAACAGCAAATGCAATCAGTCTCTGTCTGCCTCTCTTTCCTCCATCACTCCAGCTCTCTTTTCCTCCATCACTCCTTCCCTCTCTCTTCCTCTGTAATTCTGACTTTGAAATAAACACATCTTTAGAAAAGAAGAAGTACGGGGCCCGGCGCGGTGGTGCAATGGTTAAGGTCCTCGCCTTGCACGCCCAGGATCCCATATGGGCGCCGGTTCTAATCCCGGCAGCCCCGCTTCCCTTCCAGCTCCCTGCCTGTGGCCCGGGAAAGCAGTGGAGGACGGCCCAAAGCTTTGGGACCCTGCACCCACGTGGGAGACCCGGAAGAGGCTCCTGGCTTTGGATCGGCATAGCATCGGCCGTTGCGGCCGCCTGGGGAGTGAATCATCGGATGGAAGATCTTCCTCTCTGTCTCTCCTCTCTGTATATCCGCCTTTCCAATAAAAAAAAAAATTAATAAAAAAAAAAAGAAAAGAAGAAGTACGGATTAGCAGTCTGAGGGCAACCATCCTGCCATGCAGTCTGCTATCTGGGCCCAGTACGATGGTTCAAAGGTTATATCCTTGCCTTACAAGCACCAGGGTCCTTTGTGCACCAGTTCACATCCCGGCTGCTCCACTTCTCATCCAGTTCCCTGTTTGTGGCCTTGGAAAGCAGTAGAGGGCAGCCTAAAACCTTCAGACCCTGCACTTGTGTCAGAGACCTGGAATAAGCTCCTGGTTCCTGGTTCCTGGTTCCTAGCTTTGGATCAACTCAGCTTTAGCTGTTGCAGCCAATTGGAGAGTGAACCAGCAACTGAAAGAGGCCTCAGGACTCTGTACCCACATGGAAGAACCAGAGGAGGCTCCTGGTTCCTGGCTTTGGATTGGCTCAGCTCCAGCTGTTGCAGAGCCACTTGGGAAGCAGCCAGCAGATGGAAGACCCCTCTCTGTCTCTCCTTCCCTCTGTAAATCTGCCTTTCCAAAAACTTAAATAAATCTTGAGAGAAAAAGAAGAATCTGCTGTCTGATACCAGCCTCATCACTCTAAAACAGAAACTGTATCTTGTCTTGCCCCCATTGAAAACCACGCATGCGTATTTCCCACAAACCATATCATGATTTCAAGGACTCCAACTTCAGTCCCCTTTTCCTGAGACATGCTGCCCTTCACCTTGGCTGGACCACCCCAGCACCCGTTTTCCACAATCCTAGACTTGGGCCTTGGTTCATACTGGTTTGAATGCTCTCCTAGCCACGTTTCAAAAACCAGAGACAGACACGCCCCTCACAAAGGCCTTGTTCTCCTCCAGCCCTTCCCGGGCTGCGCTGCACTTCCGCACTACTCAGTACTGACTGACTGTCACACAGTGTCAACTGCACTGTGTAAATTCCTCAGGGAAAGATCACGTGCCATCCACAGGGGGTGCAGGTAACACAAGGCCTGAGAGAACAGGCTTGGGAGTCGGACTAAGACGGAACCCCGACTCCCCCCACACTCAGTTCCTAGCTAACCCCTCATAAATGGGGATTAAAAGCAGTGCCGAATTCACAGGGTTATCTCTGAGACACAAAGCAGAGAAGGCATTTCTAAAGTGCCGCCCACTTAAGGAATAATTCTTCCAGTTACGTGTCTTCCCGCAGCCCAGCCTAATGCCGAGTGTGCGCGTGGCACTCGGTAAGCAAGTGCAATTAATTAATGGGGAATTGCTAGAGGTGTGGCATTATTGGCGAAAACTACACAAAGAAAAGCAAAGAGTCCAAGAAAGTAATGTAACAGAGTAGAATAAAGAAAGTAAGTTCTAAGGACTAAATGTTAATTTGTACATACGTCCTGGGCACGCCAGGGGGCACAGAGGGTAGCTAAGGTTCCACACTCAAGGGCTCACCGTCTAGCCCAGAGGCCAAGGGCACATGTGAGTGAAAGAGCAGCGTGCCAACAGACCCCACGTGATGGTACAGTCACAGCTACTGATCTATCTTGCCAGGACTCTCCTCCTTACCACTAACAATTTTTTAAACTTTATGTAGTGCAGTCTATTTTTATTATCTATTGACTGAAAATAACTGCCTGTAAAGATACTTACAAATTCAAACTCTCCATGAATTTGTATTTTGTTCATTACAACAGCATCTACACACATTTCTCCCATACCCATGAAAAAAAGAACAAAAAAAGGAAACTAGAATGCATGTATTTCAGAAATCAGTGACACAAACTCTTGGTGTCCAATGAGGTCTTCTCTATGAATTTGCACGTGTGGCCACAGGGCAGTACCCAAGTCTGGTTACACCTGTGCACACCCACACGCGCTGCCAACAACTGGCTCACTGGCAAGGACTCCCAGTGAGAACAGGTCAGGAAAGTAGAGGCTACAGGACATGCTTCTAACAGATTCCAGGCAGTAAATGTTGGCCTAATTGCATATTATAATGTTTAAAAATTGCTTGTAAAAGCAAGCGACTATAGCCAAGAAAGTTTCAAAGATCTGCACAGATCCCGCAGGGCTGAAAACCAAGTACAGCAGAGAGAAGAGAAAAGGAACGGGATGGAAAGTGTGAGCAAACGAGAAATACAGCAGCAAACTGAGTGTGGAGGCCTTTGAGGAAGCACGCCAGGCAAGCAAGAACAGGCAGGTGACTTTGGCCGAGGTTGAGATCCACACCGCTGAGGGGCCCCAGTCCTCAAAGGCTTGAGTCCCCTGGACGCCAGCAGCTGGTCTGCAAGAAGTCACGGCTCCAGAGCTGCAGGGATGTGGCCTGCACCACCACTAGACCCTGTGACAAGGCAGACTCTCTCAGGCTACACTCCCTTACAGTAAAATGGGAGGCAGACCTGGGATACCATCACTAAGACAGGTGCCAGTAGACAGCCATTCTGAAAGGCTTAGGATAATGTCCAATGTCCAAAAACGAGCAGATATTCCACATGCTGTATGGAAGGACGTGAAATGGGAAAATGAAATTGAAAATAAGTCATTTCGATTAAAAAAAAATGAAAATCTTAAATCTCATCTTAAATGTTCATGGAATTCAAAAGTTCAAGGAAAATGTTTTTTGGAAAAAGACCATGCACACATTAAAAAAAATGTACACCAAAATAAACTTGCCTTCTAGTTCTAGTTTCTTAAATGTGTGTGTGTGTGTGTGTGTGTGTGTGTGTGTGTGTGTTTGGCCAATTTAAACAGAGTGCAAGAGCTACAGACAATCTTCCACCTGCTGGTTCACTCCCCAAATGGCCGTATTAGCCAGAGTTAGCCCAGTTCAAACCCAAGAGGTAGGCTCCTGGGTCTTTCATATTGGTGCAGGGGCCCAAAAGGGTCCTCTGCTGCTTTCTCAGGCTTGTAAGCAGGGAGCTGGAATAGCAAGTGGAGCAGCTGAGAGTCAAACCAGCACCCATGGAAAGTGCCAGCACTGCACGTGGCAGCTTTACTCACTATACCAAAGTGTTGATTTCTAATTTTATTTTCTACAGGATCCTTGCATTTCTACCGCAACTACTAATAATCTACAAAGTAGGAAAAATTCATTGCATGCTTTAGTTCAACACTCTTCAAATGGATATGACCACAAAACAGTTTTAAATTAATATATACAGGGACCCATGCAATAGCCTGGTGGCTAAATCTTTGCATGTGCCGGGGATCCCATATGGGCACCAGCTCCTGCCCCAGCGGCCCAGCTTCCCATCCAGCTCCCTGCCTGTGGCCTGGGAAAGCAGTCAAAGATGCACTCACCTGGAAGATCCAGAAGAATCTCCAGGTTCAGATTAGCTTAGCTCCGGGCACTGTGGTTGCTTGGGAAGTGAACAGCAGACGGAAGATCTCTCTCTCTCTCTCTCTCTCTCTCTCCTTTTCCCTGTACATCTGCTTTTCCAATAAAAATAAATCTTTAAAATATATGAAAAGAATACTAAGGAAGCTCAAGAAATACCAGGTATGTGGAGATCTGCATGGGGCCACAAACATTTTCAAATGTCCAATGATCAAAAATTAGAATAAATTTCTGTTTACAAATTCAAAATGTATCTTGGATAAATAAGTCACTGCAGAAAATGTTCAGCTTTAGAATCAGGAAAAATCTAATGATAATATTTTATCAGGAACTTACTTGCTAACAACCCACAAGGTCAAGAGACAACCTACATCAAGGAAGAAAATATTTGGAAGCTCTGACCAGGTGTTGATATACAGAACAGAAGGAACTTTAAAAACCAAATGGCAAAACAAACAAAAAAACTCCCAATAATCCAACAAAAACTGGCAGCAGACTCTAGTCAGACCTCTCCCGCAGGAAGACATACAAATGGCCAACAGGCACATTACAACGAACCCTTCGGTATCATTAATCATCAAGGAAATAGCAATGAAAACCACCATGAGATAACATCTCATTCTGGTGAGACTGGGTAGTACCCACTGGGTACCCACTCACTGGGTAGTACCAGAGACAAATGGCAAGTGTTGGTGAGGAAGTGGAGAAAGGGGAATCCTTACCGAAAAAATTGGTGATGGGAGGAAATTGCTTGTACCTTGTTGGTAGAACGGAAATTAATACAGCCATCGTGGAAAACAGTATAGAGGCTCATCGAAAAGCTAAAAGTAGGATTAGCATTCATCCTGGGCAGGACAATGAGCTCCACCCATCAAAGAAACATCTGTACTCCTGTTCATTGCAGGCAGGCAGTACTACTCACCATAGCAAAGAGATGGAAACCATCCAAGTATCTATGCACTGATGAGCAGATCAAGCAGATCCGAAGGAGTGGCAGTCATAAAAAGGATGGAAGTGCCATCTGCAACAACAAGCATGGGACTGGAGGTCATCTACCACGTGAAGTAAAAGAAGCTGCTACACACGGAAAGATAAGCATCACCAGATTTCACTCATACATGGAATCTATTTAAAAAAAAAGTGACCTCATTAAAATTAAAATAAGTACAACTATGTGGGAAAGACACTGCGGCATAGCGAGTTACACTGGTGCTTACGACTCTAGGCTCTCATATCGGAGCAGGAGCCCAGGGACCTGGCTTCAGCCTGGGCCAGCCACTGGTGCTGCAGGCATCTGGGAACACCCCCTCTCCCCATCTCTAAATCTGCCTTTCAAATGCATAAATCACTTTGAAAATAATGTGTGTGTGTGTGTATGAGAGAGAGAGAGAATGGTAGTTACCACAGGCTGAGAAGGGAAGGTTGGGAACAAGCTGTATAACTAGTCCTAGGTTCCCTCTGGACAGCAGTAACACATTCTGGGGTCACATTAGGGTGACTACAGATAATGTTAATATACTGTGCTAACATACAGTATGTTGAGAAAACTGCTAAAAACTAGAACGTAAGATCTTGCGTGTTTTCACTAAAATAAATGTTACATGCTTAAAAGGAGAAATAGATTTGCTCTGGTTAGATATCATATAATGTAGAGAGCCCCATAAATGTGTACAACTTTTAAAAAATGATTTTTAAGTTATAAAAAATAAATTCCACAGCCTGAGAAGACAACTGGACTTCCCACCACCTCCAATTTAAGGATCCTGACAGAATCTGTCGTGTGCTAGACACGTGACAGGAATGGGCCTGCATGCAGTGATGGACCTGGGCAGGAAAAAGCAGTGAGGGGAAAATGATCAAATTTTGCTTCTGAGTTTGCATTTCTGAACTGTATATTCATATCAGTGTTAAAATACGATGCTTTTTAAGAAGCAAAACCAAAAACCTAAGAGGCCAATGATGACCCGCCACTCTAATGAGATAGCCACAATTCTGACTTAGCCAGAGGAACCTGGTGTGGGCCCCACGATTAGCTGCCGTGCCAATGGCAGCCAGATCTGAAGCCTGAGGGAACACCCTCAGCTGGCACTCAACAACACGGGCAGGGGCTGGCAAAGGAGGAACCTGCAGGTCCTGCTGCCTGCCTGACTGAGGACAGCAGTGCAAAGGCAACCAGATGCCTGCGGGAGGGCAAGCAGGCCAGAGGGTGAGCGGCCTGGGGAAAGCAAGTGCTCGAGACAGCGTGCCCACCCAGAGACTGCCCACCAAGGTGAATGCCCACATGGGCAACTGCCCACCCATGGACTGCCTACCCAGGAACTGCCCATCCAGGAACTGCCTACCCAAGAACTGCCCATCCATGGACTGCCCACCCAGAGGACTACCTACCCAGGAACTGCCCATCCAGAGGACTGCCCACCCAGAGGACTGCCCACCCAGGAACCGCCCATCCAGGGACTGCCCACCCAGAGGACTGCCCACCCAGAGGACTACCCATCCAGGAACTACCCACCCAGGAACTGCCTACCCAGGGACTGCCTACCCAGGAACTGCCCATCCAGGGACTGCCCACCCAGGGGACTGTGCACGAGGGCAACTGCCCACCTCAGTGACTAATGACTAAAGACAGTCATTAGGAAGTCTGTTTCTCTGGCACCTCCAAGGTGCCAGTGTGCCAGGGAGGAAAGCACTCCAGCTACCCTTGTGACTGTGAGCCCTGGAAAGCCCAGGGCAGCGGAGCAGCCTAGGGAAAGTCTGATTAATAATTACATGCTGACCTCACACAGCACCCCCTACTTCCCTGCCCAGCTCGCACGGCTTCCACGCACATTACTTCACTGGGTCCAACAGCTCTTCAAACACGGACAGCAACCCTCTGCATGACGCAAGTCCTCTCCGAGCACTCGGGAGAAGCCCACTCCTCAGGGCCGTAGGCAACCCGCTGAGTCGGCAGAGATGAGACGAGACAGTCTCTCCCAGCTCTCCGGCCAGTGATGGAGAGAGACTGCTTCTCAGCATGGAGTCTGGGAGCTTAGGAACAAGGAAATATCCCAAAGATCCCAAAATAAGTATCCAGAATTCCACAGAGCAGACTAATAATCCTGCTCCACTCTCCTCGGAGATTCAGAGTCCAAGATGCCTTAAGTCATTTCAAGGACAGCCAAAAAAGGAATGGAGAGCTGAGGGAAGGAAAAAGAAAGGAGAGAGAGAAAAAAAAAAAAAAAAGCACAGTGCTGCCTCGGGCTGCAGAAGTTTCAGCAGAACTCAAAGGGTACTGCCAGCCTTGCCACGAAACTTGCTTCCTGCACATCAACCACTGGGGCAAGACCTGCAGGGTGGACCACCAGCCAGGCCGCGCTTCCTGCTTGTCCCTGGATCCTGTGTTTCTCTAGAAGAGTTACTCATTTAGCTTTGGCTCTGGGCCTGCCAGTTTCAGGCAACGAGTCTAAAGGCACAGAACGTGAGCAAGACTTCTGCGCTGTCTGTGGTCCCAAACGGGTGGACCCAGCTACAAACGGGAAGACGGTGATGCTTAGGTAGAGAAGGGCGTTTGTGAATGTGTTCAGTGGAGAGGTTTTTCAGAAAAACAACAGAAGAACACAGGAGAAAACTCTCGGGCAGGTATTGGCACCACAGTCACTGTGTGAGAGGCCCACATCCAGCTCCAGCCCCTTTACTGAGGATCATGGTTCCTGCTCTTGGGTGCCCGGGAGACCCAAGCACCGTTGCCACTCACAGGGCGCCTCTGCTCTGACTCCCTGGTTCCCCGCTGTGGCCCCTTCTCTCCAACCCCCAGCTGTCATGGGTATGAGGGGATAGGGTCTCTCTTAACACAAAAGAAGAAAAGATAAAAGGGGGGGGGGGAAACTTGCAATCTTATTTGTAGAAAAAGAGACATCAAGCTACCTCAATCGAGAGAGTAACAAAGCACTTGAGACAACAAGAACATTTATACACTCCGAGGCAATATCTGATCAAATGCAAATGAATGCTAGCGTCCAGTTCATTGGAAGAGGAGACAAAGAGCGCTTCCCAGGGAGCATGCAACTTTCATGTGGAGACAAGTCGGAGAATTCTGCTGAACCGCCTGGGCTGATGCTCCCGCCACACCGGAGACTGAACGGTGAGCTCAGAAGCAGGCACTGCAGAACAGCGGGCTCACCTATAGAACACCCAGTGCTGTGTTCTAGAAGCAGCTCCTGGGCGCTCCTCCCACACGCCGGGGCTGGCACATGCGCTGCAGGAGCAGAAGGCAGGCAAGTGCTCAAGAGGAGAAGGAGGGGGAGTGAGCTAACAGGCTCATTCACTGGGACAAAACGCTACATTCCAAGGAGCAAGAAGAGGGAGGAGGGAGAAAAGTGGGCAAGGGGGAAAATCCAAGTTTGTTGCACAATTATGCAACTGAAATTCCACGGCTGAGCCAGGAAACTCAAAGGTCACAGTTCCCACAGCGACTGTAACTTGACCCGGTGTATGTAGTCTTTGGCACTGCCACAGCCAAAGCAACATACCCTACCCAGAACTTGGCAGCCCGCACTACCACCACATACATACCTGCCGCTCAGCCACCCTGCACCCCTGCCTTGCACAGGCTTGGCCTTCTGCACGCAAACTGTGCTCGGAGCCCACCTGGCTGCCCACTTCAGGCTGGGGTCTGTTTGTTTGTTTAAGATGTATTTATTTGTTTTGAAGGCCAGAGCTACCCAGAGAGAGGGAGAGACAGAGATCATTGCACTGGTTCACTCCCTGGATGGTGACAGCAGTCAGTGCCGAGCCAGGTCAAAGCCACGAAAGAGCCAGGAGTTTCATCCAGGCTTCCCGTGTGAGTGGCAGGGTCCCAAAACACTAGTTTCACCTACTGCTGCTTTGCCCAGGCCATTAGCAGGGAGCTGGGTCAGAAATGGAGCAGCTGGGGGAGGGACCAGCACCCAGATGGGAGGCTGGCATTGCAGGTGGCAGCTCAGTCTGACAACACTCGGCTCCAGGTCGGATTCTTGCTGGCAAAGCATCACTTTGGCTGCAAGCGTAACTCATTTACAGGCCTTTCGTGGTACTTCTGTGAGTGACGGGGTGACGATGAGAGCAGGGAGGGGAGTGTGTCTGTGTGGGCAGAGGGGCTGCTGCCTCCTGTTCTCCCACATTTTGTAACTGGCCAAGCCTCATACAGTAAAACAAGATGGGGCAAGGAGGAGACACACAGGAGGAGAAGCACAGAACACCAACGAGAAAGATGAACATCCGACACCGTCCTTGCATACGCTGTGGGGAGACACCTCAGTGGCAGCATGAGGGACTTGTCAAAGTTTACGGAGGGCACCCACTGTAAAACTGGAGGGGAGATCAGAGGGGAGCGGGAGGGAAGACCCCACTGCCTATTAAACTGTGTCATAAAACAAAGTAAGAAAAAAAGGTGAACACATAACCAGCAAATAGGGGGAAATGTATCGTACATCACATATCTACTAAGGAACTTGTTTCTAGAGCATATGTAACTAAACACACTGGGTCAACCAGATCCCACACCCATCTTTTAGGGGCAAAAAAAATTTTTTTTAACGTATTTACTTGAGGGGCCAGCACAGTGGTATAGCAGGCTGTCTGCATGCTCTGCACCATCCCACAGAGGCGCCAGTTCACGTCGTGGCTCCCAACCCGACTCCCTGCTTATGGCCTGGGAAAGCAGCGGAGGATGGCACAGGTCCTACAGCCATGCAGGAAACCCAGAGACGCTCCTGGCTTCAGATCAGATCGGCTTAGCTCCAGGCACCTGGGGAGTCAACAGGCAGATGGACGATCCCTCTGTCTCTCCTCTCTGTGTAACTCTACCAAATAAAAATTTAAAAATGAGTCTGTTCTTTAACGTATTTATTTGAAAGACAAAGTGACAAAGAGGGAGAGACTCCATCCTGCTCACCTGTGAAGCGCATGGGTCCAGGCACGTGGGCCGTCATGCATTGCTTTCCCGGGTGCATTAGCAGGGAGCTGAATTGGAAATGGAGCAGCCAGGACTGGAATCGACATTCTGACGTGGGATTTCAGTGTCCCGAGCGGCACTTTAACCCACTGCACTACAATGCCAGGCCCCCTGTGCCCATCTTTGAGGCACGAAGAGGAACAAGTGATGGTGGAGGAAGGGCAGGGAGTAAAGGGGATGACAGGAGGTTATTCCTCCACCCTCCCTCCCCAGCCTGGGCGGTGGTGGGCATGTGGGTGTGCGTGACTGTGATGCAGGGGCCAGGAGCAGAAGCCTGCTTCAGAAACGGGTGATCACTGGCCTTCTCAGGAGGAGCACCCGACATGCCCCTTCCATCTCAACACAAGACTGAAACGAATCCAGGGGAAGACCGACACCCTGGAAATCTCACCTCTTTCTGCGCTAAGGTTTCTGTCAGTGGTTGAAACTGCAGACTCAAGGCAAAAACATGCTCTCTTTTCAGTTTGGTTCCAGAGGTGCACAGAGAGAGGCACCGCAGCGAGGCAGCGAAGAAGTCCAGCCCCCATGAGATGCACACAGCCAGCTCTACCTGAGCAGCCGTGGGACCCCGAACAGCTGTGTGACCCCTAACAGCCTCCAACCCCGAGCAGCTGTGTGACCCCTAACAGCCTCCAACCCCGAGCAGCTGTGTGACCCCTAACAGCCTCCAACCCCAAGCACCTCCAACCCCAAGCAGCCTCCAACCCCATGCAGCCTCCAACCCCCCAGCAGCCTCCGACCCCGAGCAACCATGTGACCCCAAGCACAGCCTTCAACCACGCTGATACAGCTGTTGTAAGACTTAAGACAAGGCACATACAAACCTTTGCTGCAGGACCTAACGCTGAGAAGGTGCTTGGTAAACAGGAAGTATTAGCACTACTTCATGTTTTATCAAAGATACTGCTGTGCAGTCTGATCACCCACTTCATTTTAAGAACTCTGCCTGCTTTAACGGTTCTTTTGCAACACTAAAAGCAGCACCTAGACTTTTAAATTTAAGCGTTATTTACTTGAAAGACAATAACAAAGAAAGCAGGAGAGCTAGGGAGTTCTTCCATTCACTGCTTTGCTCCCTCAACAGCCAGGCCTGAGCCAGGCACTCCACCCTGACGTCCCACAGCAGTGGCAGGGACCCATGTACTCAAGCCAACCTCTGTCGCTTTCCCGGGAATATTAGCAGGAAGCTGGGTTGGAAGTGGAGAGCAAGGGTTGGAACTAGCACTTAGAAATGGGATGCTGGTGCCACAGGTGGTACTTAGCCCACTTCATCACAACACCAGTCCCGAGCACATCACATCAGTATGTGCTTTAATGTGTGATGAGCACCGCTTCAGGTACTGTTCTTTGAACCTGTATCTACAAGATTTCACTTATCTTCATCATAACTCACAATATAAGCATTATTTACACGCACCTTATAAAGGAAGAAACAGAAATTCAACAATGTATTCAAAGTCACACAGTTAACTAAGTGGTAGAGGGTGGAATTGAACACAGGCAGTCCTCACACTTAACCACATCCAAAGTATGAAAATACATTCTCAGCAGACACAAAGTAGACAAAGGAGCTAAAGGGATATACATCCTAAACACGTTCTGAGGGTGACTTCCCTGAGAGAACTGCCCATCCCATGTTGCCCCTGTGATTCCAACGGCATGCAGGAAACACCACAGAGGAGAAAGGCCAGTTACTCAAGGTGCCACAGTCAGCCACAGCCATCTACCTGATCAAATGCAGCCTGCCTCCGATGTTGGAGTGCCCAAGTGCAATACCAACCCTTTGGATCCTGATTTTAGCTCCCTGTGAATGTGTTTGGAAAAGTCGCAGAACACGGCCAGAGTGCTGGGCCTCTGTCACCGACTTGGAGGCCCTGAATGGACTTCTAGTCACCTGGCTCAGGTCTGGCTCAGCCCTGGCCATCCCGAGGAGTTGAGGAGTAATCAGTAGATGAGGATCTCTCTCTTTCTCTGTCTCAGCCTCAAAGGAGGAGGAGAGGTGCTATGCTGCTCAAAGGAGCAAGCAGGAAAGAACCAGCAGAACCTTGCGACACAAGTGAGGGATTTATTTTTAACATTGCCTGAGCAATTTAGGTCATAAAGATTAGGGCAGGAGATAGCTCAAGTTTTTATTCTAACAACTTGTCTACATAATCCAGATGCAGTTCTTATTAAATTTCATGTTTTCCATTAGCATAAATAGAGAAGAAAATTTCATTAGATGGCCCAGAGAGTTAAGATGACAATGCTTGAACATTGCTCCATTTTCCTGCCTGCTTAAATACAACTTGGATACACTTGTGTCCAACCTTCAGCTACTCCCTGAAGACCGCCTCCTGAGTCAATGTGTTCAGCAGTCATCTGCTTACAGTTTTATCTCAGCACAGGGAATAAAATGTTACAAAGAGCCTTTGCAACTTAGTATCTGCTTTCATAGGATTGAAGTTTCTAAAAGCTAAAACAGAGCCAATAAACATAAGAAGCTCTGAGTATTCAAGATGGTAAGACTCTTACAGATGAGTCAGCTCTAGAAACTTGTTAAATGCAACAGAAACATCTGAGAGTATAACAATCTGACTTGAAAATTTGGGTGTACTAAACAATGAAGGGAGGATTTTATTTTGCCCCAATTAAAAATATGTCTGCTTCAAAGCAGAAAAAGACAACCCACAAAAAAGGAGAAAATCTTACATTTGATATACACATGACACACCAAATTTTAGATCCCGTAGTCTATTGTACCTAGATCATATAAGAGAACTTAGAACTCAATAAAAAGATGACCCAATCTTTAAATGATCAAAGGATTTTAACAGATACTTCCCCAAAGAAGATACACAAAAGATCATTGAACACACAAAAACGTAGGGAAATACAAGCTAAATCCACAATGACCTGTCACTTCAAACTCACTAGCAGGGTTATGATGAAGATGGACAATAACAAGTGATGCTGAGGATATGGGAAACTGGAGCACGCCGGCACTGCTACTGGCAATGTGAAGCAACCCAACTACTTTGGAAAAGTTTGTTAAGCAGAGTTCCCAGAGGGCCCAACGAATTATATCCCTTAGGTATATCCCCAAGCTTATGTCCACATAAAAACTTGCAAGTGGAAGTTCACTTATTATTATTACTACTTCAAAGTAGCCAAAAAGTGATAACAATCAAATCCTTATCAACTGCTGAGTAGACAAAGAAAATGTGACAAATCCATACAATGGAATGCTATTCAGCCACAAAAGGAAATGAAGCACTGAGCCGTACTTCAACATGAATGGACCTTGTAGATATTAGGCCAAGAGATAAAGAAGCCAATCAGAAAATGACATGTACTGTGCCATTCCAGAATGGCACACTCAATGTCCAGAACAGCACAGCTGGAGACAGAAAGTGGATGAGCAGCTGCTTCAGGCTAGGGTAGAAAGACGCTTTGAGAGGTGATAATAAAAAATGTCTAAAATTGATTCTGATTGCACAATCATGACTTTGAAGATATAAAAATCACTGAGTTATCCCACTTAAATGAAGAAACTGTATGATATGTCAATTGTGTAATAAACCTACTTTTAAAACCTGAAGGCAGTAAGCATGTCTTACGTGACAACATATTCTCCTGTGTTAATACAGGGCCAGGTATACAGCAGGTACTCAATAGGTGTTGGTGAAACAGAGTAGAGGTATTGATCTTCTCAGTAACGGTTGTGTTAGAGGAATTCTCCACTGTAATCAGTGACTCCCGCAGGATGCCCCCACCTCGAGGAAACAGGGGTCCCACTTCAGTGCCTTCTCCCAGCCCGGCACATTCCCCACTTCCACCTTCTCCCTCCAGCCCCCCGACACTACACTGATCTCTGTCCAAAGTTGTTTCTTAGCTCAGCTGCTAGGAAACTCAGGTGGCTGGTACAAAAAGCAGCAGTAATATCTAAAAGCACTTAAGTAAGCTGAACTCTAGAGGCATAGGAGAGCATTAACTTGGTCCTCCAGGAGTCTGGATAGAGTAAAATTACCTTTGTGAGGTGATCACACATTTCAGGACAGTCAATGATGGGAATACACTGAAAACATGTCAGGGCCTTCTGTCAATCATGGGATCCTCTTCCGGGACTTCAAAGTAAATGACTGCACACTACTCTGCTGCCTTGTTTATCCTCCTTCCCCAGGCCGCCATCAGAATCCACGGTGTGCCCCATGGCGCAGGCGCAGCTTTGCCATCTATTACACATCTCATCCCCCGATAGGTAGCCCATGCCTGGAGAGCACAGATGGTGCTTGTGGCTGATGGCTCACGGGGAGCTAAGTCCTGTAGACAGTAAGCAGACAAGTCATACTTGCCGAACCAAAGCATCTCCTTCACACACACACACACACACACACACACACACCTCTTTGGGAAGTCTTTTAGTGTCTGTCTGTAGCTGCTGAGTGGCCCACATACCAGAGGGCGGACTCCTTTCCCAGGACCCACAGGCCCCAGGCACTCTCACCCACACCCACACCCACTTTCTTTTCCAGAATTCTCACCTCTTGCCCCTTATCACCATGCCGCAGTCCCATGAGTTGCCATCTATCTCGCCAGCCTGCACGCCTCACCCAGATGTGGGTTCCCTTGTCAGTCACCTTCCTTCTGGATTCAGCTCTCACCTCTCTGATTTGTCCCTCCAGCCCACTGTGCAGACCCTATCGCATATTCTCCCTGGCCCCACGCGAGTGCTCCATCAGTGCCCTTCACAGCAGATACGTTTCTGTGCTCCTCTCTCTATTTCCCTTCCCTACAGATACTGCGACCACCTTGAAGGCCCCACGATGATGCCATATGACAGACTTAACAACTGGTCTCCAAAAACATTGTCAAGTTTACTGACGCAAAAACGGGGTAACACACACCAGTCACAAACTACAGTAACAAACACACACACCAGTAACATATACAATGATAATATGGAATACTTTTTATTATCAACCCCATAGCCAACTGATTCTCACTAGACATTTACATAGATTCTTTGTCTCTTTTTTTTTTCCTAATTCATACCAATGGTTAACTTAGGGATACAAGTGACAAATAAGCAAATGTAGGTTGATATTTTCATTGTTGTGAAGGAGGAAAATGAAATAACACAGAACATGACACAAGCAACTTCTTAACTGCTACACCAAAGCCCATCCCTGACAATAACAACTCATTTGCTAAATCGGACACTAGTTTCCAACTACTGGAAGATGACACATTAAAATCAGTATTATACTTGAATTTTCTTGAAATGCTGAGAGAAAGGAACTCCATATACCTGCTAGAGCAGAGCAGAACTGGGCTAAAGCCAAGGTTGGGGACCGGGAACTCCACCTGGTTTCTCCTATGGGCACGAAGCTGGAGCCAGCAGCCAGAGTCGGCAATCAAACCCAGACTCTCCAATGCAAGACGCAAGCTGCCCCTCCGACACCTTGACAAGGACAACAACAATAAACCAAGTCCTGATATGCACTGTCTGAAGGTTTGCATGGCACAAATACCCCATCCATGGCTCAAGTCAAGTCCCCCAGTGGACACTAGAATGCAAAACTCAGAGCAGATGAACCTCAGCACATTAATGTACGAGCAATAATTTCCCTAAAGTAAATGTAACAGCATAGGTAATGCTAAAATAATGTGATTAGTTATTCTTATCATCCTTGTCTTTAATATCACTTACTTAATCATGATATGGCCGTGTTTAACAATCAACTTGCAAAATTTCTTTGAAAATTTTGAACACAAAGATGTTCAACGCATATTTGTGCAAATAAAGTACAATCTTATACTTAATTTTCTGCTAAGGGTCTATTATGACAGAGGAAATAAGACTTTCCATATCTGGAAATTTTGGAAGATAGAACAGTAACATCTTCTACAGAACAAGTTATTGTCTTTAAAAGGGAAGATATCTTTTTAACACTTAGCAAACACTCAAATATTAAGACACTTTCCTCAGTAAGCTCTCCCTGAGGTATTTCTTCCACTAAGATAATGCAGAGAGCTGGAAGTGGATTCCAACTCCTTCAAGTCTGACGTGCTTTGGGAAGTCTTGGCTCCGGGTCTGGAGAAGGCAGAGCCTCCAGGTCCCAGAGATCACTGAGTGATAGCGAGACGGCCGAGAGCTCACCTGCGCCCCGGGTCTCCAGCTTTCAGCTCAGTCTGCACCCACTCTTCGTCTTTCGTTCCCCTTCAATCTTCCATCTCTCCCTCTTTCTCTGTGGATCCTCTCTTCCCCTAAGCTGGCTGGAGTCTCTGGCTTTCCACCATCCCCCTCTCTCTATTGACAACTGAGTTTCTTTTACTTTTTTTAAAGATTGATTTATTTATTTACTTTATTACAAAGTCAGATGTACAGAGAGGAGGAGAGACAGAGAGGAAGATCTTCCATCCGATGATTCACTCCCCAAGTGAGCGCAACGGCCGATGCTATGCCGATCTGAAGCCAGGAGCCAGGAACTTCTTCCCAGGCTCCCACGTGGGTGCAGGATCCCAAACCTTTGGGCCGTCCTCAGCTGCTTTCTTGGGCCACAAGCATGGAGCTGGATGGGAAGTGGAGCTGCCAGGATTAGAACCGGCGCCCATATGGGATCCTGGCGCGTTCAAGGCAAGGAATTTAGCCACTAGGCCACACCGCCAGGCCCACAACTGAGTTTAATACCATCATTGTTATTATCACTAAGGACTCCACATGAGGCTACCTATATCCTCACCTCGACCAGTCACTTCATGACAAACTTAAAGTACCTCATCCAGTTCCTGATGACTTCAGTATCCTACATTCACACTGTGTGGCTCACGGAACCATGACGACGAATATACCGGCCCAGAACAGTAGCCTAGTGGCAAAGGTCCTCACCTTGCCTATGTCACGATCCCATATGGATGCTGGTTCATATCCCAGCTGCCTGCTTGTGGCCTGGGAAAGCAGTCAAGGATGACCCAAAGCTTTGGGACCCTGTACCCACGTGGGGGACCCAAAGAGGCTCCTGGCTACGGATTGGCTCAGCTCCAGCCATTGCGGCCACTTGCGGAGTGAACCATCGGACAGAAGATTTTCCTCTCTGCTTCTCCTCCTCTCTGTATATCTTTCCAATAAAATAATTAAATCTTCATAAAACAAAAAAGTACCAAGATACCATTTCCACTGACTTAAGAACACACAGAGAGATCATACCCACAGGTCAGGATATCAGCCCAGATTTGGTGGGACTTGATATCATCTGTAGATTTCCACATGAGCAGAAGAGGGGAAGGAATTGTTTCATTGTCTCAAGCATAAATCTGAAGCTGGATTGGTTTGTTCAGTCTACAGAGGGTTGTCCAGCCCCAGAAGGCAGAAGCCTTCCACCTTCTTCCTCTCCCTCCCTCTAGCAGGAGTTCATACCCAAGGCTTCACCCCATGTTGCTGGACCCACACTCCTTTCCCCATTTCCGGTCACTACATGGTCCTCACCACCGTCCAGGGGAACCATACTGCCCACCACGGCCTCCCAGGCCTCTAGTCCGCCTTCTCAAAATACTTTCCACATAATGCCACTTCATTATGTAAGGCCTATATTAAGGCTCTCTGTCAAAATCAGACCATCCCTGCTCCAGGCAGTAAACACTGAAAGGTTTAGGGGTCAAGAGGCATGATGTCTTTAACTGGCTCACAAATGGTTCTAGAAAAAAAAAAAAAATCCAAAGACAAGAAAGAAGCAAATGGTGCAAAATGCAAACAAATGGGCTTCTAAGCAAAGAGCAAATAGGAGTTCCTTGTTTTATTCTTGCACTTCTCTGAAATGTAATAATAATAACAACAACAACAACAACAACAATAATAAAGTCCAAACCCTCATCTTGACCCTGAAATGTTTCAGTAACAGCTCCTTCCCAGTAAGCACTCCAGGCAGGCCGGTCTGCAGTGGCTACAGCTCCACATAACATCTTGTTTTGTCCCCTCTGTACACCTAGACTCAGGATTTCCCCTGCTCCTCCCTGCCAACCCACTTCCTTCACTGCCCCGAGAGCCAGCTCCTGACTCACTTCTCCCACAGATGCCAAGGAAGGAAAGGCACTCCTGCCCAGTGACCAGCTGCCACCAGGCAGGCTGCGGGGACAGTGCTATGCGCCCATCACCTCCTTTCATCCGGCTAACTGCATCACCTTCACTAAGAAGGCAGTATTAGCTCAAGACTCAGAGAGGTTACAACAGTGGTCCAACAGTGAACCCGGACCGACTCTGCCGAGCGCAGGGCAGGGCCCCTGCCTCACAGTTTGCTGATGTCTTTCCCGAACTTGGCCCACAGCCCATCCACTCAGTGCGCCCTCACTGTCTGCTTTGTTCCAGGCCCTGTTGGAAGTGCCAGGGATCTGTTACAAGACAGGACAGATAAAGAACTCTGACTTCATGAAGCTGCCATTTAGACAATAAAAGCTGTATCTATCAAATGCTTACTTGGGCCTCACTTTGTGCCAGGTGTTATAGTACACATTTTATAAATATTCATTCCTCACAAAAATTCCGTGGGTTTGGTATTATTCTTGCAACTAGGAAACGAAGGCCACAGGAGTTAAAACAGTGCCCGCACGCTCACGCAGGTAGTAAGGGGGACTGACTGAGGCCGAGATCAGGACAGCCAAGCCTAGCACGCTTCAGCAGTGAACGACACGGCAAGCTCTTGAAAGATGGCAGAGTAAAGCAGGGTTAAAGGCACCTGGGATGCCGCGAGCAAGGAACCTAACATCTCACGGGGAACGAGCCTGTACAAAGGCCTCGAGACAGGGGCATGCCTGCAGCGCACCTTCCGGTCGTGCCCTAGCTGTTCTTTTATTATTTTATCTTGACATCCAAAACAGACCGTGAACTCCGAGGACACAGCCTGTGACCTCCACTCCCTTGCCTGTCTCTGGCATTTCTCCGGATCTGTCTGCCTTGCTTTGTGAATTCCACGAACATCCAACTCCAAGAGGACGGCAGTTCCCACTGTATCACTTTTTAAGCAGTTTTCATCTGATCTCAAAGGCAGAGAGACAGGAATCATTGTTTCACCTGCTGGTCTACTCCACACACGCTCAGAGTAGCCAGGGCTGGGCCAGGACGGAGCCAGGAGCCTTGGCTAGTCAGGTCTCCAACATGGCGGCAGGGACACAGGTTCCTCTTGGGGTGCACACGCGTGAGCGGGAAGTTAGATCAGAAGCTGAGCCGGACTCCGCGCTGGGTTCTCGGATGCAGGCTGCAGGTTTTCCAAGGGGCATCTTAGCTACTGTGCCAGACTCAGCAAGTCTTCAACATCTCTCCCCATCAGTCTTTTGACCTTCGTGGTGAGCAGTAAGCTCGGTGACTGGTAAGGAAACAGCAGGGCACAG